TAGAAGAAAAAGATTGAGAAATTATGTTTTTATAGCTAATTTTGAAATCTATGCAAATGCAGACGTTAGGCACACAAAGGTTAATTTAGAGACAAAAAAAAAAAAACAGATATGAAAGTTAATCTGTATTTGAGCAAAAAAAAAAAAAACTCAAAACATAAGATTTGTTAAATTATCAAGGTTCCAGATTATGCCCTGAAAAAAAATCAAGGCTTTGGGATTCAGAAGAATGTTCAGGGTTCTTAATTTTAAAAGATTTTTTTATAGAACTCTGCCGAGAATACCCATGGAGTTCTGCGGAAGGAATTTAAAGGAATTGAAGACATTTTGAGGAGAAAAAAATAGGGGAAACATTCTAAGGGAGCAACATTACAAGACAATTTTGAGAAGGAGTTCTTAGAAATTGTTAGATAAAAGAAAGTTCTGAATTGAATTTATAGGTGAATCTGAGGAAATTAATGAGCATCGTGAAGAAAATAGCAGGGGAATGAAAGTAGAATTCCAAAAGACCTCCGATTAGAGTTCAAAAAGAAATATAAGTATAATTAAAAGGGTGTTCTGATGATAATTTCAATGCTGATATTGATGAAAAATATCAAAGGTACACACTTAGAAAAACTCATGTAAATTTAGGTGCTCTGAGAGTGACATATACGAGCGTCAATTTTGACATAAATTTGAGTCATAACAGACGCGAAATATAGCTTAATCAAACGTACTTTTCGTCAAGCAACGAACTTTTCGGTCTCGGAGCACTTAATATTACATGACATGTTTGTTTACGTCTCATCTTTTATGTCAGAGATGGATTCCATCACTTGTAAAATTATGTATTTCTAAGTGTGTAGCGTATTTTAAGGATGATTCCAAATATAAATTATCAACCATGAATATGCAATATATTAAGCAATTTATAATCAAAGCAGAATTTATTCTGAATAATCTGGAAAATGAATTGCTTCGGTAGTTTTTTCTGCCCCCTCTATTTACGCCAATGCTGATGACCGTAAGGACGTGGCCGGCGCCATTATTGACCTCAAAAATATGGATTCTCTGGATTCTGTACACTGAGAATGGATTGCTAGTCAATTTCGCTTAATCTGGTCAATCACGGAGTAGCAACTACTGAAATGTATGGTCGTCAATGCTCACGTTCATGCTCTCATCAGAGAACAACAAGACCTTACCCGAGCAAAGTAAAATATCAAATTGATAACAAGTTCTATTACCCGGTTATCACTTTTTGATAACTGAATATGTTATCATTACGGTTGAATTAACAGCCAACATAACAAAAATGATAACAAAAAATTGCTCGTTGGATATCACAAAAATAACTCATATTGTTAGCATTGATAATATCTTGATAACAAATTCTGTAAGCAATACAAATTTATTTCATAAATTTAAAATCATGTTATCATTTTGTTATCAAAACCTTACGCTTATAACTGAAATATGATTAGGGATTAAAAACACTATTTTTTATTTTTCAATGCGAATAATATTAAAAGTTTTGAACTAACCTTGCATTGTTAATAAATTTATAGTGAATTTTTCATGATAACAACTGATAACAAAATTGATCAAGACTGATAACTAAATAAGTTATGCGATAAAAACTGAAAACAAAATGATATCTGGGATAACAAGACTTGTTATCTAGATGATATCGGGTTGTTATTCTACTTTGCACGGGTAGCCTGATTGGTGAGGTAAGTAGGCCATACTATGGATAAGGTATGAATTTCTTGTTTTAATAAATAATCAGAGTTCTAAAAGAAATTTTTGAGCAATTGGTCTTATTATTTTTATTCATAGATTCAGATTTTTATAATTACAATAAAAAAATGTTCTAATAAAATTCCCGGTTATTTCTCGGTTGCTTACGTTTTCCGAATAATTTCAATTTTCCTGGTTCAGTTTAAAAGTACATTTTAACGCTATTTAATAGCACCATGAGCAGAGGCTTAAGAGTGATGATGTCTTCAGCAAAGACGTCCTTCATCTTCATATGAGATGAGCTTTGTGATCCCAAGTAACAATTTTAGTTTATGATGGTTCTTTAGCCCATGATTTAGACTTGTAGAATGCTATAAAACCTCGATAAAACCTGCAATGTTGCTTGGGATCAATCTCCCTAAAAGAGAGATACACAGTTTATTTTTTGTCCTGGGCAAAGCTGAAGCAAAAAATATTCCAAATAACTTTATTATTAACTTATAAAGCTAGAGAGCATATTTAAAATGAAGCCCATAAAACACCTTTTATAGTTGAATTTATTTATTTTCAACTTGTACATATTCACTATGTTCTACAAAGTCGTTAACAGAGTAATCATGCACAACTTCTTCAAATATACTGTGCTTCTTTAATTTGAATTGAATGAGTTATTGATAAATTTTACACTCTTTTTTTACGTAGATATGGAAGGTGCAGATGTGGCTAGTTGCATCTTAAAGTATATCAAAATAGTCTGCTAGAGATTTGTCCTCTTAACAAATGTTCATTTCTTTACTCTATTTTCGCGATGCAACCACCAAAATGTCCAGACAACTGTACTAAGATCAACCTATTTGATTTTTATGAACAAACGTGTAATTTAAGATTGAGTTTTGCAATTTTTTGTTAAGATTTTGAGCAAAGCTTTAGCTGGGAAAAATTCACATTGAGTAAGGTGCTACCGATTGCAAACAAAGATAGACGAAGCACGAGTTAAAAGCAGCACTGGTTTATGCATTATTTACTCCTACCGTTTTAAAACCATTTTATTTATTAAAACATAAAAACGAACATCAACTAGATAAGAGACCACAAACTGCAATATATCACTGAATAAAATCCTACTAAAGAGCAGTGAATCGCATCAGCGATGTTAGTGCATTTGTAATCCGATAACCACGCTGACCGTACACCAAGGCCGTCGCTGCCGCCACCACCGCGTTTGGCAACACTAATATTTCTTCGCTGCAGCCGTTTGCTTGTTTTACAACCGTGTAGCATCTCCCTTCCCCCCACCGGCTGTGAAGCCACTTAGAGATAAGATAAAGCGATACAGGCTTTCCACGGGGTGGTGATATGGCTTACCTAGTTTTGGTCACGCATTAAAATAGCCCCATTCAATCGGTCGGTGGTGGCGCCTTCCACATATGATTGTTGTAAAAATTATGTGTGGGAAATGATTTAGAGAAAGCGGCCTGGTCCAGGCTGCCCCAGCCCAAGCTTCCGTACCGCAAGTCGATTGGAGTCAAATCGGAATCTCTTTATGAGTGTGGAATTTGAAATCGTTGTTTTACGATCTGGTGCATTTCGGTTAGACATGCAAAAGGAATCGAGATCACGAGACATTGTTCGTATCGTTCGGCAGAGGCGGTGGCGGCGGCGGCTGGTGAAAGTGATTCAACGTTCAATTTGATAGTGGAGTTGATTCTCTAAATTTAATGTTTGGTGTTATCGTTTGTCGGTTATCTGTGATAAAGACCATGTTCAAAACAGCCATTTCGGTATTCAAAAGGATTCCGTAATGGATATATAGCAAAATGCAAAAAAGACAACTGAACTTTCTATTCTCGTGGTATACTCAAACTGAACAAAAGCGCGGGGAAGAAATGATAGCTGTCGACAAAGTCAAAAGTACAAAGGTTCTTCTCTTCCGCCATAGCAAAGGAATTCATAGGTTCAATTTATTAGGCGGTCGGTTGAACTGTTCACAGCAAAAAAATAATTTTAATATCACATCAAAGTGGATGAACTTCAATTGTGTCAAAAATATGGTGTAATATTACTTGCCAAAAAGGAGAAAATTATCATTAATACAGCGCATCAACTGACATTACGCTGCTTTTACTGCATTTGTTTATTGTTGTGGCCATAAAAAATACATGAGATTTTCGACATGATTGAAGTGCATCCTCTTGGATGTAATATTAAAATTGATTTTTTGCTGTGTAGTAGACACTGTAGCAAAAACATCGCACGAGCTCATACCCGTAGCGATACCAGATGATGATGAAGATTGCGTTGACACAATCGGTAGTTCTATGAGTAAATCGTTTGAAGTGTCGGTGGCCTGGTTGTGGTTGGTTTACTTGAGGAAATATAGCAGCAGGCTGTGTCGCTTCCAAGTTCTCCCATCGTCGAGTTCAACATAGTTATGCAGCCTACCAAGCTTCTGCATCATAACTCCGTACTTCAATTTTTCTCTGTCCAAGTAATCACTCGCCGCAACTCTCGCCTCCTCAGGAATATCACGCACTTTTTCAGGAACCGCTTTTATGACAAACGTAGCACTTGCGTTCAAAAGATCCAAACGGGAATGAAGTTGACGATTATTTAAACAGCATCATGACCGGAGATTTCCCAGTTGCAAGATGAATCGTCTTCCGGTAGGTGAGCAAGATACTGCACATGCCGCATGCATCGTAAGTTTATCACGTTTCAAGCTCTTCAGTTTTGATTTGAAGGTCTGAATAAAACTTTTAAGCCCTCGCAGCTCATTAGATTCCTATTGAGGTCCGCAATAACTGTGCAAAATTTAATCGATTTTTGTAACGATCAGGATTTGTATGGGACACTGTCTGGGATATGGCCCGAAACTGTTCAATTGCGAACGCTTCATACAAATAGTTAAACAAAGTGTATGAACAAGTGTCTACGCAGTGGGAGGAGGTGGTTAGAATCACTCAAAAACTTTTACGTATATTATGAACAGCCCAAAGTTCTATTTATATATTTCTCGGAAAGCTGCCAAAATTCCTTCGGAATATTGAAACTTTCTGGCTTTGAAACTAATTCACGCTGAAACCCAAATACCAATATCATTTTTTCCTTGATTCGTTTTCCATCTATATTGTTTCCGTGCGGAGCACCAATGCTACCGACGCCAGGGAGGCAGCTTCCACAACTGGACCCTACCAATTGACTCATCAACTCATGAACCGGGACCAACGGGTCTGTTACAGAGATTGTTACAGAACCCGACATAAACCAATCAAACAAACCTTCTGTAATTGCCGCCACCTCTTCTTCGTCGTCCTCCTCCGCCGACTCCTCGTCCGACTCTTCCGTAGACTCTTCCGGATCCATCCGTAACTCCAAAGGCTGTTGATCGCTCATAGCTGGAGCAGGTGTGGAAGTTCCGTTTTTCGAACTTGCAATCAACCCGCTCTGCACAGCCAGTTCCCGAATAGCACGTAGGCTTGTCCTAATGTCACCTCGCACATCCGTTATCGATTTGAGCACATTCAGATAGGTCAAACTGCCACCGTTGGCAACACTTATCACTGTCACCAGTACCAGCACCGACAGGATCACATGGCTCTTATTGCCCTTCATGTTTCCTCTTTTTCCAAAACTATCGATTCACACTAGCACCTATTCTTCGAATTCAATCATTCAGCACAGTTAGGAATCATACGGATTCTTCTTCATGTAGACACGTTAAAAATCGCAACAACCAGAGACTTGGCCCTCGTAAGGACACCCAATCAGTCAATCGGTCAGAGCGTTCCAACGAAACAGTGATCCGATCTGGTTTGGACTCGCGGTCGGACTAAATTGGAAAACCCATTACAATCAATAAAACCTTCGAAGGAAAATCATCGGTTTTCCCTCCGGGGCTCGGTCCTGTCTATCGGTACAGTGCCAGCGTAGGTGCTGATGAGTGAGTAATTGATGCACCGATGCACATGCAGAAAAAAAGCAGTTACTGTATACTGGTGGTGCATGATAAGTGATTCGGCTAAGAGTACGTGATGATTGCAGAAGCTGCTCGTGGAGTTATGCAATTTTTCTCTGCAGCATCGATACATACGATGTTTTAGAGAGCATCTCGTGTCCACGTCTATTGTATTTACTTATGACGGTTGAGAGAATACAATTCTCATGACGCTTTTATGTTTGGCGCCAAATGAATTAAAAAGGCATGAAAGAGAGCAGTAATAGTAATTTACATTTAGTTCCGCTACTTTAATTGCTGCTTGTAATACCAGTCGAGTATTAGTAAACTGAAGAAATATTCACAATACAGATGAAATTCGGGTTTCTGTTAAGTATAAGCAATTGAGATAGTGGAATTAAATGGAAATTACTAATCCATCTCACTTTCTTTACACAAATATTCCTCTATAGACGCCCATATTAATCAGGATTCAAACAAAAAATCACCATACTGTACCAAACATTCCTAATTAGTTCTGATGGGAACATGGGGCCTTCTTTAGCTCAGTCCGTAAAGGCGCAACTATAAAGCAAGACCATGCTGTAGGCGACTGGATTCTCGGTTCGGTCTAGGAATGTTGAAAAATGTCTCTACTTCCTTGGACATATGTCTTGTCGCAAAATATATACTACCCAGACAACCAGAATGTACGAATATTCAAAGATTCTTCTTCTTCTTCTTCTTCTTCTTCTTCTTCTTCTTCTTCTTCTTCTTCTTCTCCTTCTTCTTCTTCTTCTTCTTCTTCGCATTTCAAGCTTATTGCATATCGCATATTACCCAGCAAACAATTTTGTTAACATTACTCAGTTGCAATTCAGTTAGCTGTAGCCTTATACAATATAAAAGCATCGTACAAGATGCATGAATTCCTTATATGCGTACAAAAGTGGACGCCATATACGTACAAATAGTATTTAGCGCAAACATCGTATAAGAGATGTCTTATGATTTCATTAGAATGATTACGCAATCTGTTATTTTTCGTCTTGTATTACATAACGTGCATAATGCAATTATATATCATAGCTTATATAACTTTTCAAGTTACTGTATTGTACACATTATAGGATATGCTAAAAAACATATCCGCAGATGTGTATATATATATATATATATATATAATCATGGTTAAACCGCAATGCATTGATAGTTTATTTGCATCCATACTTTTACGAAAAAAAAATCCTGCGGGTATAAATCAAATGATATGGATTTTTTTATATTACATATTACTGAAAATTCGAGAATTTTTTAATGATCTACATGATAATTGGTTTGAACACATACTTTTTAAATAACTCAACGCATACCTGGTTACATTAGCCTCGATCCTGGTGTCTTCATATCTGCATGGCAGCTACTTATCCATTAGTCCATATACATATTGGTCAATCAACGAATTTTCGTCTATCTTACAAAATCATTAGATTCAAGATTAAGTTCAACATCTTATAAGACTGTTGTTGAGTTTATTATAATTTTATATGCCAGTAACGCTATACGACATTGTTTTGATCGAAATACGATGCATTCCCAATTACATCATAACATATGTGATTATTAGGACACTGCTACGATCATTAAATGGACCGATGATTAAGGAACAGCAGCAAAACTTTCTAATCAATGTTCCCAAACCAGTGGATACTAGCAATAGTACAAATTCTTCACACCAATTATTACTCCATTTTCATAGATTATTATGTGATAAGAAATTTCAGTTTCAATAAAAAACAGTTTTGGTTGATTATTGCAATTCACTTCACTCTTATGTAAAGGGAAATGTGTTACACTATAAACTTTAAGAATGATATCAAAATAACATAACTGGCTACTCTGGCTTTTCATCAGTAGTGATCGGTAAATGTAAATAAACATTCGTTTTCCACTACACTGTCCTCATCGCATCGAACAGCTACTTCTTCTCGTCGATTAATCACAGTAAGTTGAATTAAAACTTTATCCTCTTAAATAAACTAAAAACAAAAACAAATCTTTCAGATGTACGGAGTTGCGCAGTTTATAGAAAACGGCCGATTTCAGGTTCTGGCAGTACCCATGAGCTGGATACAAAAGGAGTTCCTAATGTGGCCAAAGTCATTGAACAACGAGAAGATCGATAAGATGCGGAAGGAAGGGACGATTTTTAAAGGTGCAACCAAATCCGTACCAGTTATCGTAACACGAAAATTCCGCAGCTTCCAAGCGGCGGAAGCTTCTGTGGAAGAACTGTCAAAAAAAGACGTGTCGGATTTTGAAGCAAAAAAAAAAGCAACTGAAATCTGCAAAAAAAAAAGAGGCCAGCGGAAAAACGGAACGATTACAACTCACTTTGTAAAGGTATGTTTTCATTTAAATGGTTCAATTATAAACTAACGTGACTATTTTCAGCAATCGTTGGCAAAGAGAAACAAGCTTGCAGTTCCCGAAGCTCGTTTCAGAAAGTTAAAGCACTATCGGTTGAGCCACCGGAAAAACTGGTCCGTCCACCACAGCCATTGGAACCAGTCATCAATATTCGCCCTGATACGCCACCGGAAAATCTAATCCGTCCTCCACAGCCAATGGAACCGGTGATCAATATTCGGCGGGATGTGACAGCTCCAAGGGATGATTTCCAATCATTTCTTCAACCATCTGCCACAACCACAACGATTGCCCAGACATCTGCGGAAATAGCGAGAGCAGTTCAAATTGTGCAGCAGTCATCAACATCAAACGTTGTCCAGGAACCAATACTACGTATGCCGGAGGATTTCATGCTTCAACAGATCCAGTTGAAACCGCTGGAAACTACTAGTTCCCTTCCAGGTAAAAACTTCAATGATAATTTTGACACTGAAAAAAAAAAAAATTGTGGTTGCTTTGTTGAAGTTAACAAATTTAAATGACATTATTGGTGTTTTGGATTCATGTGTTCCATTTGGTGAGTTTGCATATTTTTGACAGACAAAAAATCAATTTTGACAGACACCTTCTCGAAAATCGACCGATCAATAACTGATTAATTTATTTTTAATGTGTCAAATTTAAGTGAAATTTTTTAAAATGGAACACAGCCTTAGTACCGAATTAAATTTATTGATTGCATGCATTTTGCAGATTATCGATCATTTGCGCCAAATGTTCCTGAAGAGAACATTCACTTTGAGGCTTATACCAAGAATATGGATGTGGAAGGTATTTGAGTTTTTATATTAATTTAATATTGATTATCAGCTTTATTATAATCATTGTCAATAAAAAAACAATACAAATAATGAAATGTCCTTTTAGGTGAAGATACCGATGAAGTTGAAACTGCAACGGACCTAGATGCACTTATTAAACAAAATATTTTCGATGCAGTCAATGATGCAATGCGGAGCTATCTTGACATACACATCGAAAACATAGTAGAACGTGCGGTAAATGCAGCTGTCGATAGAAGTTTTGCGACTAATTTTGCTCGTCTAGCAGCCATGACGGAGGTATTGAATAAAACGGCATCCAAAGACGACACAGTTATCGAGTTACGATCACCTGTTGATACTGAGAAGCATGTTACCGATTGGAATGCTGAGTTGACAAATGATGCTCTTCAAATGAAATATGTGAGTACTCCAATAAACCGTTTCATAAATTATTCAAGAATTCAAATGTATCATAATTTAAAATATTACATCTTTTTTCCAGATGGAATTTTTCTCCCGAATTATTGTTCCTAATTCGTACGTGGAAAAAGGAGATAACGCGTTTTACGTCATTGCAGATTGTCTATTCACTAGACAATTTTGGAATCGATTTACTTGGACAGGCGTGAACAGAGGACATAAATCCAAACGAGGCTTCCGTGAATTTGGAAACGTCACGGAACTGCTTTTAAAACTTATTCAGATTGGTGACCCCACATATACAAAACAGCAGTTGGAGAAGTTTTGTAAAACGCGCTTATTTAGACATGCTAAGACACGATCTGCTAACAAAATGCTGCGAAAGTCATCTTGTCGTACTAAGCGAGGTGTTAAAAGGTCAAAGCCTCATCATGAAGGTGCTATGAATGTTACAGACGACATCGAACTTGATGACAATGGCTCTGATGGTGAGGATATGGATAACTTTGAGAACACAGGGTCAATTCATCAACCAAACGACACTGATACATCTGAAGGCAATGATGGAGACTTCTAAGCTACAGGCAACAGTGATGGTTCTTCTGAATGATTGATCACGGAATGAAGGATTAAAGTTACGGTCGTGACTATCAATGATTTTTTTACATTTCTTGTTATTTTTTAAATGAAAAATTGTTGAATTGGAATCTTAAACAAATAAACTGCTTTCTTAGTTTTATTACTTGATATAATGCTCACATTAGGTATTATCTGTTATTTTAAATGCCAATCGTATAACCATTTTCAGATGAAATTTGCCATTGTATGCATAAGTGGTATGAATACAGTTTTATCTTTACGGTTGATAGGAACCATTTTACATAAAATCAAATCAGGTCTATAGAAATTAGCATTTGAAAAATTTTCTTTCACAAGTTTTGAGCTGAATACATAAAGAAAAGAAGAATCCATTGGTTTTGGGAAGAAATTTTCCATTTCCAACAAATGTTGTCCTTTGATTAATACTTCATCTTCATCTTCATGAACATCTGTCATTCCAACTAATTCTAATGTATTTGTGAGAAACCATTTGTTGGTAAACTTATTTGTCAAAATAAATTATGGAAAGGTAATTTTACATACTTTTTCGTTTTTTATGACATTGATTAAAGTAAGTTTGGAGAAATGCTGTAATTTTGATGATTTTTCACTACATTCAGCTTCTGTTATTCGGTTGGCTATTTGAGCTAACGGATTAGGACCGGGTTTCACCAGCTTTTTCAATGAATGTAGGCAATTTTCGAAAGGATATGCGGAAAGAGATATTAATGTTCCAAATTTTTCCACTTCGTCTACAATATGGCAAACATTGTGTACATTACTTGTGATAAACTCCGTACCATACAGTATCTTGTAATCATTTATAAATTCAATTAAGAGCATTCTCGCGATTGGTAAAAATGATTTGTATCTTTCCACAGAACAAATACGGACTGCGCAAAACAATAATAAAAAATGTTCATAATACTTAGGTGGTAGATGATCTTTTAGAAGCACAACTCCTACATAGTTCAAAAAATTCGATATTCCAACCCTTTCCAAAGTGAAATATGTTCCAACGAACGCATACGTCGGTGAATCTCTACAGGGAACCTTTAATCAACCAAATATTCAGAGATAACCTGTTTTCCGTAAGCGCTCCATTTCGCTCGTTTCGTCATGCATCCAGTACGCCAAGAATTAATCAGCTTCCGCATAATGCCCAACTCTAATAAATGTAACGCATCTCCAACAATGACATCATCTATCATGTCTATCGGTAGTTCCGTAAGTAGAGACACGGCACGTTGGTGCTCTGGGTATTTATTCTCTCGAAACATTTGATTAGTCCGTAGCTCTGCATTCACTTCTGGGAAAATCATGGTTCTTGTCTCATGGGAATATTTTCCTTTCGTCGTACACTTCAGGCATCCAAACTTGCCGTTATAGTTTGTTACACACTTAATAAAGGCCCGAGCGGGAGAATCACATATAAACGCTCGAATTTTTACGGAAACTTTGTGAGTATTAATTATCACACCTGAATTAAGAACTGATGTAAGCTCATTGATGAAAGGAGATAAAAATTCATTGGCATCTTTTGGTTTGCTTGCTCCATAGTAAATACCAACGATGATTGGAGAAATGTGTGATAACTCATGGATATTCACAAGAATTGGCCAAAAATGATTGGCACTGCTCTTATATATGGGAAGACCATCAATGTTGATGTTAAGGGATACATTCATATCCACAGCAACATGCTCCAAGCGCTTTTGTAGGCCACGTTCCAAGCCATGGTGCCAGTATTTACCATAGTTTTTCATGGTTATGATTTCCAAAGTTCTAGGGGTTCTCATAAAAGTGCGGGGATCTTTTGGTAGATCCACCTGCAAGTGAGTATTGAGCACACCAATCAACGATTTCAAAGCTGCTTGCGATATTTGATATTGCGAAGCCCATTTCCGGATTTCAGATTGAAGTGATCCTAAGAATGAAAGTACAGGTTTTTTTTTAAATCGTTAAATTACTTTTATTAAAATTTGGTTTTACCTTGGTATCGTTCATTTTCAACTATATCTTCTAAAATTTCTTTCGAATCATCCATACCGTGAGTATTCATTTCATTATCCAAAGCTTCCGTGGCCTCATTAAATTCTTCAGAGGTGACAGAAGCAGAAGAAGAAATCGATGAACTAGAATAATGCTGTTGGTCCACATCGTTATTTTTATCCGAATTATTTTGAGAAATCTGAGGGATGATCCTTTTTTATGCTTTTGAAGCAAGCGACTGTACGTTCCACTTTTGTGGAATCGCGTCAACTTATTTTTTAAAACAAATGTATTCATACTCCGCCTGATTTTCCTGATTTTCCGAATATTTGTTTTTAATCGTAGATTGAACAATGATTCCACAATCAAATAAATAAAAACAGACAGATATGCAATATAAAACAACTTCATGTGTATCTATATGTAATGTTCATCAACTTTCTCGCAATATGATTTCGGGTTGACAAATACGGTGATTTATGCAA